CTCTAATGTACATTATTCTATTATTTCTGAGTAATACAATCATAGATTTACTGTTTATTTGCAGAGACAGTAAAGAAAGAAAACAATAGAATATACAGTTCTAACGAAATAATTGATGTTTCTCTTTTCAAACATAATTAAATATCAATATTATCTTTTTTCAAAATATTATTATTGAAGTATACATCGTATCAACAATTTTATCTGTTTCATCTACGTTTTTTTAAATCGAAGAGAAGTGAAGAAGAAATGAAAAATAGCCAAATCATTTTTTATTTATTTAATTTTTCTCTTCGTTAATTTGTTAATATTAATCATCTACTTTAAATCCTTTTCTCTAGCATTTCAAAGAGCTTTTTTCTTTAAAAAAGATTTTAAAAGTTTTCTAATTGAAGTTGTAATTATTTTGTAATAAAGATTAAAACTAGAGTGAAGATTAAATATTTATAAAATATCATTTTAGATTTAGGATTTAAAAGAATATTCATACTCCTGATTTTGAATAAACATAAAAGTCAGAAATTGTCTTCAATAATTTCTCTAACAATATCTCAATCATAATAATTGTAAGAGAATAAAAACAAATTAAATTTTAAGATACGTTAAACAAGAAAAATTTGACAATATTAAAGTTAATAGAAGAGATGACCATACTTCAAAAAATAATTATCTTTTTTAATCATTTAAAAATGTATAATACATATACAATACAAAGACTGAAATCAATGAGAATATTTTAATTTGAATTCTATCAAAAGAAAGAATTCATTCATTTTCATGAATGATATGAGTTTTCATTTGATTAGAGTTATTATTATATATTTATTGACTTAGATTAACATGTAAAATAATCAAAATGAATTATTCTAGCATAAATATAATCTAAAGTAATTCACAAAAGATTATGATTTAATTGAGCCTGTGATGTTGAATTAGTTTTCTCTTTTGAATACAAAAACTACACATATGAGATGAATAACAGAATAAATTGTGTTTTATTATCTAATCTTTGTCTTAGTTATTTCTTATAGACATTAGTCAAAAATATACAGTCTTGTTTGAATTAATCTAAAGATATTTAATAAGAAAATCTCAATCTTTGATTGTTCAAAAATCATTTGCCATTTTAACTGATGAACAAAGAAGAATCTGCAGAGAAGTAATGGAAAATTCTATCTACAATATATTTAAAACTATAATGATGATCATTAGAATAATAATCATGAAGAGATATTTACATTCATTTATTGAATTAGAAAACTACAAAATATATTGACAACATATTATGTACTTTTTTGTCACTATATAAAATGAACTAATCTATTCTCATATATATGAAAATCATTAGTTATGAATATGTATGTTTTACGATTGACGATCTTAGATAAAATGAAAGAGAAACTTACCGTTTCTATTAAAATACAAATGAAATTAAACTTGTAGATTCTCATGAAAATATATCGATAATACTTTCTCAATGTGTTTAATAGAACGAGTTTGAATAAATATGAAGATTCTTAATCAATCAAATCAAAACAATTTTATTCAATTTAATTTGTATTTCTGATATGTCTGAAATAAAAGTATATCGTTGAATAAAATTTATTCTGTCAAAGTCGATGAAGTTAATTAATTTCTAAAGAAAAAAAATAATCAAAACTTGCTTTTTTTTAAAAAAAAAAAGAATTAATTGTAAAAAACTTCTTCATCTAACAAACTCTTCAATACATAACAATTCTTAATTTCTATTACTTTTAATAACTTAATCTAATGATTATAAATCATGAACTTCTTTATATTTCAAATACTTGTTTTAAAAATAGAATTACTTTCAATCAATTTATCTCAATTTGAAAAACAATCAATTACAATATATATATGTAAAAATGTTTACTTTATATTGATGTTGTTAAAGTATTTCAATAAAAGATAAAATTGATTTAAATCGATATTTAGCTACATAGTAATAGTCTTTTAACATCAAAAGGAGACGATAATCACATTTTAAAAATCTTTCATTATTTATAGGTCTTGTTTAAAAGATGTGTTGATAAAGCAAGTTTATGAATAAAAAATAAATAAGAATTTTAACGAAAATAAGCAAGATATTTTATATCAAAAAGAAATAAATACAGATGATGATTTTCTATTCGCTTTCAAACTCTACTAATACATATGTGAAAATATAAGAAAAAAAAACCATAATATAACTCTAAAAAAATAATATAAACTCAATATAATAAGAAAAAGTGAGAATACATACATACTTTAATCATAACAACAAAAGAAAGGAAAATATTAGACTGTTTTATCAGAAAGGAAAGAAATTCCTCGCATTTTGTTGCTCGGCAAAGACATGATGACTAGTGCGTCTATGTTTCCAATCAACAACTAAGATAACAGATCACACTAGTATATGTAAAGTAGTGCACTATACCGAAGTCGAGACGAACGTAGCTAAAACGCGTTTGCCACGTGCTGCGCGAACGCGTGCCGATTAAGTAGGTCTGCACGTGTGCGACGCGTTTCAAACGCATTTCTTATTCGTTGTCCACACGTTCTTGGTGCATAAACACGTTTGCGCATACATGTAAAACTCGAATAGTCGAATTTACTACTAGGGTGTGGGTGTGAATCTGGTTTCCAATCGCTACACCCACATCTATATCCGGATCCACCCGCACCCACTCACACCGACAGCCACCCATATCCGCTGATATTGTGACTTATAAATAGCGTTACATGTGTTTTTCTTGTCCATATTATAGATAAATTACTTATTTATAGTAACAAACGAAGTCCAATCAAGAACTGGATGGTACTCGCGCTTCGTTTCGAATACGAAATGCGGTGCGTAGCACGGATCTTTCGGAAAAACAATATTTCTGTGAAAACGAGAATTCGATTTTCTAAATTATAGTAATCATTATTTCTACTTCATTTAGGTACAGACTTTCTAAGATAGACACTTTTCTACATCATTCGAATTCCAAAAATTACTTTTTGGCAAGTCAGCTGATATAAGTCGTGATAAAATTCAAGAGCACCATAATAAAATCCATTACCATGAGAACTCTATGCCGATCAAAATTACGGTGAAGGAGGATTCCGATTGATTGATTAATTATCTACATGATTCATTATCTATCATCAGCTGCTTTTACAGCTGTTTGACATATGAGAAAGAAGAGAGTGGCGCCTAACTTTGCTTTGTATTTTCGATTTTAATTATCTCAAAACAAAGCAATAAGTAAGTGTTGTAAAATTTGTCATTTTCGGAAGCAATTTTTGAGAAAACTCAAATGTTTTCAGATCGATCTCAACAGACATTATCGGTTCAATCTCGATACTCCTACCTCGAGTTTGAACTAATGTTTTTGGAGTTTCTCTTCTCAAGATAATCGCGAGAGAAAATGACAACTTCTAGAGTAAAATTAATTATCTCGAAGCTCGAAAAACACTAAGTCCTTAAAATGTCGTTGTTTTTGGACGCTATTTGTAAATAAACGAAACATGTTTTCGCAGATTTGAAAACAGAACGTATCGATTTCATCTCGGTATTTTTACCTTGCGTTTGAACGAATATTTTCTGAATTTCCGTTCTCAAGAGCGTTCGAACAGAAAATCACAACTTTTCATGCGTACGTCAAGTAAGTAAAAGAAAAAAAAAGAAAATTCGCGAAGGATTACATAAATGCTGTGCTTCGCACAACGTTAAAAAAATACGCAAATAAAATTATATTGGGAAGCCACGTGCTTAATCAAACCTATTCGCTTAATTAAAGTGACAGTTAGTTACTATCGAAAAGGCAGAGAAAAAAGAAGAGAGACTAATAAAAAATATGAATAAAAAGAACAGATATTAATCAAAATTTACAGTGTGAATTAATACAAGACGGAGAACGTGTTTGATTAGCGTTCGAACTGTAAGTATATCTTATTTTTCTGATATATTTTAATTCTAACACTTTCTCGTATATTATCAGAGAGAGTTTGAATAGTATATTTGAAAAGATGAAGCCATTAAAAGTATAACTAATCGGATAATTGAAAACCAAGGCCACAAAATTTTTTATTTTCTGAAATAACTTCTACGATTTATTTAACAAGATTATAATGAAGACATTTTTATGACAAAATCCGATTGTTACGATGTGCAAAATATTCATTGACTATGTTCATTTTTTTATGATGATAGATCGTTTTGTAAAGACCTATATTTTAATGGTATCATTAACCCTTTCGAGGCGATGTCGTCCACCGGTGGGCGACGCTATAGTTTAACGACAAACTGTATAGAAAAGCACTTTCTTTTGCTTTTTTCTTAGGCAGGAGGTTAAACATAAGATGTCATATCTTCTGTCTTCAGTACTTTATTTGAATCCTTCATTCCATAGCATAATGCTTATCATTAAAACACTCAAGACAAAAAAATTTATCACAGTCAGAACAGAAAGTTTTTAATTTCTTTGCTGCTGCATTGCTCGCTTCTCTTGGCATAATTTCCAAAAATTTGAGCATTTCACGAGTAGTTGGTTTCCATTGAAGAGTTTTTGATCATTTGCTAAGTTCCTGGCTTTGAAAGTGTTGTTGTGCATATCGATTAGTTTCATGCACCATTAGACTAATAATTTTGTCAATGATGAAATGTCGATAACAATCAATAGGATTAATTATATTATCTTTCGAAGTTGGCGTTACTTCTTCGATGATTCCATCATCTTCCTAAAATTTAGCATCCGATACTGATTCTATTTCATTCCAGACTTGTGAATCTAAGTCATCATCAGTAACTTCTTCGGAACTTGAAGACTCAAATTGCATTCTAGCAAAATCATCATCCAAATAACTCACATCACTCAGTGAGTTTTCGCTGTTTTCTGTATCAGTTTATTCAGATGACATGTAAATCAGCTCAAAACTTCAACTGTTCTGGTATACATGAGAGAAAAGAATCAAAGATAATGCTACGAAAAGAATGCAAAAGGAAAAAAACGAAATTGCGTTTCATTATCTCGTTTCTACTGCGTAATACATACGAAAAAGAAAGTAAACGTGAATAATTACTCAATGCAATGAGAAAGAGAATCATCTATGCAGTGATACACACAAGAAAAAGAAAAGAAAATGGTTGCACACACTAAAAAGGTCAACGATTGCATTTATCGTGGATGAATATACATGAAAATCAACAAATTAAAGCTATTTTCTATCAAAATCGAATCGTCTCGAAAGGGTTAAGCTCCTGGAATTGATTGATAATTCTGAATAGTCTGTATGAGGTACAGAGATCAACTCATTTTCATTTTTAAGATAAATGTTCTGTTGTAGATGAAAATATAAAAATTTTTATGAATAAATTAGAGGGTACACTTTTACCATCGTAAAATGAATTTGATGATGATCAATTATGAGAAATGAAGCCATTAGATTTACGGCTATCTTCGATGTAAATATTTATGAAACTAATCATCACTCTCTTGATACCTAGATTACATTTTACGTATGTTTATATAAGAGAAAAACAAAAGATAGAATGAAGAGATAACTTTACTATTCATACGAGTCTATTTGAATAGTCCATGAATGCTCTCCCTAGTGGAATATCTTGTAAGCAAGATCTTGGTCAAGGAGACATGGCCCTCTTCTAATATTCTAGAATTCTCATAGAATTCTACTTTTAGCCTTGTCTGTGTACATATAACATAAATATAATCAACACCTTCTTAACAATATTTTCATATAATGAGGTGCACACTGAGATGAATTCTAGAATTTTAGAATAAATACATATGAATTGATTTGGTATTAATATAGAGAGAATTTTAGAATAAATATATATGCATTAATTTGGTATTAATATAGAGGGAATTTTAGAATTTTCAGAATGCTAGAATATATGTAATCAACCATCATCAACCACCATCAGCTTTAACAGATTATATCTGAAACACCATATGATATACATATCAATAGACATCTCTTAGGTTTCAGATGTCTGTGGTGTCATTTTTTCCAGCTGATGTACCCGATGTAACAATCAACATTTCAATAAAATAACCGTTGCTCACTATGCCTATTTTATATATAATATCTACTTGTTTGCTAACCATTCAGATACTATATATTTCCTCTCATCACAATCGATCGTCTTAGTGCATGTTTGAATTGGAATTCGTATTTTCCATACTTAGAAATCACCTAAACTATACCTCAAATGCAAGCATTTATATTTCCACTCACAGCATATTCGCCATCAAACCAATCACTACAACAACACATTCCATTATTACCGAGACTCATACATCTCACTAGCCGTAGCAGTTCAAATATTCATTGTCTACCTCATTGCCGTATCACGCGTTTTCGAAGCAAGTCGCAATCCCAAACTTCAATGATTGATGTACTCTCACTGGTTCTTTTAGTGAATCATTCATTATGTCTAGCAATTCGTATTGTTCATATTCTTCTTAGGTTTTGAAATTTTCATTACTTCCGTTTCTCGAAATTTCTATTCAGACTAAGATTCTATTCCTTCAAAACTATTTCTTTGAAACTTCTATTGATTCTGATATCTTTCTTATACTGAAAGTTCAGCATCCTAAAATTCTAGAATTCTAGAATTCTAGAATTTTAGAAAATAAAACCACTGTGGTAAGATCTTTTATTAAATCTTCTGTACAGTATATATGGTTCAAAAGCTGATACCGTAATTCATGCTGAAATGCCTTTGAAAGACTTTTCAAATAGTCTATCGGATGCAAAAATTTCATACTAAGTTCGAATTCGCAATCAGAATTTAATTAAAATCACGAGGAAATAAAATAGACTCTTATGTTTTATTCGAAAAACTTCCGAAATTATGAACTTCTCGACCAATACTGAATAAAAATTTTGTTTCCCGAGTTATTTCAGCATAGTGTAGTTCTAGAAAGTGTAAAATTAATTTCTAACAACCATTAAGAGCTGAAAATCTTGTTGCAAGATATTTATAATATTTTGAAACGAATTTTTCAAGATCTGTTCACTTTTCTGTACTTTCTATCTTGACCAAGATCTTGCTTACAAGATGTTTCACTAGAGCTTAGTTCATTGAACTGATAGTGGATGAAAATCGATCAAATTCTTCGAAGCAAATTTGTTTTTTTTTCTAAATTCAAACATGAAAATTACATAAACTGTTTCTGTTAAGATGGCGCTATTACTACATTAACCTTTTAAAATCAATTAGAGTTTATATAATTAAGCGGTTTCAATTATGTTTAGATGATTAGTTTTTCGATGATCGATGTTAATAAGATTGCTAACCTTTTATTAAATTGGCTACTATTGATACAACTTCAGTTTTAGAAAACGTTTTAGTATTACCGCAATATCAAAGTTAAAGCTTGTGAGAATATATCATTCAAATAAAAATAATATTGAATATGTAATGCAATCATTACATCGATTTCAATCTTTTTAGCTCTATTATTTATGTTGAAGAAAGAATAAAACTGAAGAATATATCTTAGCATCTCATAGAAATATCCAAGAAGTAAAATTACTGTAGTGCATTCAGCTGAAATAGCAAAAGCTAGCAACCGGTGCTTTGTTGAGATAAAGAAAGAGGGAATTTTTTCTCCTAGATTGTTCGTTGCTACCACTATAGGAAATGATTCTTTTTTGTAGTTTTCAAAAATTACCACTTATCAACAGTTATGGAAATGAAAACGTTGAAAAATGAAAACCAAGCATCAAGAGAAGATGCTAACAGTCAAAATCACCCACCAGCAGTCAGGTCGAATACAGAACACATACAACATGAAAGAAATAGAGCTCAAAGACAGACAACTGTTTCTGATGATCATCAAGGAACACCGCACAAAAGTGACAAGATTAAATCGAAAAAAAAACAAAAGAAAATCGATAGTGAAATTCAAAATCAACCAGCTCACACTTCTTATACATCAGAAGTACAATTTGATGAAGAAGAACCTATTGATTATCAAGGACAAACTGTAAAACAAGCTAACCGGGTCGATGTTGCGACTAAAAGATCCACTAAATCAAAACGTCGAGTCTCAATGGCAATTCCTGTAACTGAAAGTCTAGTAAATCCTAGCGAACCGAATACAATTGAAAGTGATCCATCCCCGATCATTGGGTATGCTGCTGAGCCTTTATTGTCACTTCCTGCAGCATGTGCTCCACTCTTTGATATTCTTCATAATTTGTCGTTTTATG